ATTTGCTATACTAATTTGATCAATATATGTTTGTCTAAGGTTCGATCGGGATAATGGTGAATTGGGTCGTGTGATCCCTGGAATTCTGCGTGATAAGTTTGATGGACCTTACTACAGCTAGAAGGTTACTCCTAGACACGTTCGAGAACAGATTTTCAGAACCTTTGCGGTAAATTTTTGAGTTATTGTTATCTTCTATTTAACTTGTTACTTTTTTTGACATATCACGACTAACACATTCTCATGTTTTGTGTAGCGGATGTAGCACTGGGATGTTGGACTCACTCCAACTGTTAGGAAGCATTTCTTGGCCATTGCAAAGAAGAGATTGAGAGGCATTGTTAGTCAGGCTAGGCACGGCCCTAAAAGGCCATATTGGATTAGACCAAAACTTTGGAAAATGATGAATCGGTTTTGGAAGACTCCTGAGGCCCAAGAGAAGAGGGCTACTGCTTCACAGTGCCGCAACTCGGATCGTGGAGGGCTAAGCATCGCGAAGCACGTATCCGGTCAGAAAATCGTACTTGAGAGTGCAACAAAAAATGGTAATACCTCTATACTTCTTCTCTGTTTTTAATCTTCATATTTACACTAACACTATCTCTTACTACTACAGGAGGAGGAGTATGGTCGTCCTGTATCGTGGGGAGAAGTGTTTTAAAGGACTCACACAAAGCCAAATGGAACATTTGTTGATTTCAAAGCTCAACAAGTTCATGAGGCTTATGGGAAGCAACTGAATGAAGCTATGTCGGAGGAAGATCTTCAAGGGCCTGGGATTTCAAGGAATTCTTCTCAACGCTCTACTCAACGGACATTAACCATCAAGGAAAAGAATGAGATATTCCGCAAGGTATTCTCCTTTCTCTTGTGCTCTCTGCTATATTGGTTTTGCAGTTTGAATTTCATTCCTCCTGTCTTTGGTTTGAGTTTAAGAGTTTGATTCCTCCTGTCTTTGGTTAACTGGTTTTAGAGTTTGAGTTTGATTCCTCCTGTCTTTGGTTTTGAATCATTGTAGAATGGTTAATTGGTTTACTGGTTTTAGAGTGTGATTCCTTCTATCTTTGGATTTGAATAATTGTACAAACTTTGTTTGATTGGTTAACTGCTTATTCTGGTTTTAGAGTTCGACTTGGTTAACTGCTTCTAGTTTTAGCGTTGATTGGTTAACTGCTTGCTTATAGATGTTTTGTTTTGGTTTCATTTTCAGTGTACACAGACTGATCCGAAAGGAATCATCTTTGGAATTGGGGAACTACCTCTGATGGTTGACAGCGGAAAGGGGAAAGAAAGCTTTGCAAGCTCCACTGTGCCGAAAATTTCACAGATCCAAGACCAACTACAAGAAGCTCAGCGTAAGATTGATGCACAAGAGGCGGAAAATGCTCGCCATGACGAGGACCACCGCAGAATACATGGATAAACAAGATGAGAAGGAGAACAGTCCCACCGAGGCACAAGGAACCACAGGAGACAAGGAACCAGGCAGCACACCACTCGACGCACCAGCCACCGCTTAACTCTCCCCGTAGCTTAACTATGAACTTTTACTTTCTTTTGTTTTAGTACTTCCTTTTGAACATACAATTATTTTTTGGTGTATGATATTTCTTAGGCTTTGTATTTTATTAATCTAAGGCTTTTAGTGTTTTAATTTGTTCAAAACACAAAATAATTGTCTACATTGTGACCAAATCTGTAACCAAATCGATGACCAAATTTGTTTTATAGTGATTCCGTCACAAATTTGTGATACAAGAGTCGTACATTTGTGACGGAATTGCGTCGTTTTACTCAACGATATCAAAATATAATTGGATTAAAGTTGCACATTCGTCACCCTTTATCGACTAATTTGCCACTCCTAGAGTAGTCACTAATCTATGACCACCTAATACAGTCGCAAATCGGTCACAGTTAAGACGAATTTAAGAGTCCCATTTATAAGTATACGACCTCCTAAAACAGTCGCACATCGGTCACTTGTATGACGAACGTAAGCATCATAACTTAGTCGTTTATTTATGACCACTACGAGTAGTCGCATGTAAGTCGCTATATTACGACGACAAATATTCGTCTCCGTTTCATCACACATATATGACGAAATAAAGTGGTCACGGATTGGTCGCAAATAAGCGACGAGTTGCTGATGGGTCTTTTTACGACGAAAAATTAGCGACGCCTTTTATTCGTCCCAAAACCGTCGCAAAAGACCTTTTCGTGATGGATGTTGTGACTGTTTTGGACGCCGCAAATGGGCAGTTTTCTTGTAGTACAAACGGAGTGATGATGTTACTTAACTGGAGTTTTGACGATGAGTC